GGGTCCGGGCTGGGGATTCGAACCCGCCACCTTAGGTGTACGTGGCTGGCGCCTTAGCCAGTTGAGCTATAGGCGCCGAGCCAACTCAAGGTTTTCTAATAAATTTTCAAAAGCAGTGCAAGGATACTTGATCATAAGTAGAATTTTTTGAAAAGCAATTTTCATTTAAAAAATCTGAAAAATGCCAGCCTCTTGTATGGGGCATTAACTGGGAAAGAATACAGAAGAACTTTCTGGGGCGATAGAAGTGTTCCTTATTTTTATAAGGGTGTGAGTTTTCTAGGTTATGGAAAATAAACAGTAATAGTTAAGTAAATAAAAAGTAAGACAATGGCTAATGTAGTTTAACATACTCCTGTGATATTTTTAATTAACAGGTTCCGCCTTACTGAGATACAAAATGAAACGTTTCGATTATACAAATTGAAGATGTTGGCAAAGATGAGCAAATATCTCAATTCCAGTAAGTGTAGGCGACGGTATGTATCATTTTATATTAATAAATAGCATAGATTTATGGACGCTTCTCATTTAAAACAAAGTTTTGATAAAGAAATCGAAGTATTTTGAGAAAATATTTTGTTGATGTTACATGTGTGCTGAATTTTTATGGCAACCTTCTTCATACCTGAATAAAATGAAGTCAAATAATGAAGTCCCAAGTGAATTAATTAATGATGATTTTACCTCATTATTTCCAGGAATGAATTTAACATATACTTTTTTGTTCTTTTATTTAATTTAAAATTTTCTCTTGGGCAGAATCATCTTGTCTCATTTTGAGGACAAACAACTACGAAAAGCCTCCTCGGGAATTATGGGAACTGAAAAATGCTGTGATAATTGCAGGTTCAGGTAAAGCTTGCTTCTTACAGATGACCGGTTCTGTAGTATGATGTATGGTCTACAACATGATACACGTTGTAGTATATCCTGTGAAACATGAAACTCTGCTATAGGTGGGGGAAAAGATCAGTGGTTGCCACATATTAGGAAGAGGGAGAACATAGAACATAGGGGTAGGACAGCCAGTATTTGGGGGTGATGGATTTGTAGTGTGTCCTGATTGTGGACATCCTAAATATGGATGTGTTAAAACCTGTACAACTTTCTACACACACAGATTGTTTAACTGTGTTAAATGAAAAAGTAAAACAGATGATACTCGTAGCTGAGTTAGCCAGGTATACCTAGATGTGGTAGCTATATTGCTGTAAGATAAAAGAAGCATTATAAAGGATAGAGATACTCTCTGTATAATGGTGAACAGTTTCTTCACCAAGAGGCCATAATTGTTCTATGAACTTAAAAAAAACCTACAAATACATAAAGTACAGATTGACAGAACAGGTGGAGAAATCAACAGATCTACCATCAAAGTCAAAGAGTTTAACATAATTTTTATTTACTGGTAGATTAAACAATCAGAAAATTGGTAAGTTATAGAAAATTCTGTCAACACAGTTAACCAGTTTGATTTATCAGACACATATGTACAACCCTAGACCAAGCAACGAGAGCAATGTTATCTCAAATGTTTTTACTTTGTTACCCATATAGCATATAGCAAATGATAATATTTGTATAGTACATTGGGCTAATTGTCAGAGCCCAGGTTCTGTCCAGAACTTTAAGGTCTGGAGAGTGATTAACCATTTTTAGCACACTTATAATTCACCTGCTGGATTTCCATTGAACTTGACTACTGTATGTATACATGGGTGTTCATCAGTTAGCGCCATAAAGTGAGCCTGTAATGTTTGTTTTTGCATTCTTACATACTTAGGAGGGTGGTCTCTATTTCCATCCAGGTTGTTATCAAAGGTATTAATTCACCATTTTTTATGGCCAAGTAGTACTCCCTGGTATACGTATACCACATGTTACTAGTCCACTCACATATTGATGAGCACACGTATTGTTTCTGCTTCTTAGTGATTGTGAACTCAAATGCAAGGGTCTTTTTTCATACCAGGACTTTTTTCTTTTGGGTAAAATGCCTACTAGTGAAGTTGCTGAATCAACTGGTAGATCTACTTTTAGTTCTTTGAGGTATCTCCGTACTACTTTCCAAAGAGGTTGTACTAGTTTGCTGTCCTGCCAACAGTGTAAGAGTGTTCCTTTCTCTCCGTGACACTGGTAGAGAGACACTCTGTTAACCAATGTCTGTTGTCATGGGCCTTTGGATAAAAGCCGTCTTCACTGGAGCCAGGTGATACCTCATTGTGGTTTTGATCTGCATTTCCCTGAGCGTGAGCATTTTTTATACATTTATTAGCCATTAGTCCATCGTCTTCTCAGACGTCTCTGTTTATGTCTTTTGCCCGTTGTTTAAGGGGTGTGTTTAACTCTTCTCACTTCTTGGCCCGAGGATTCTGGTTATTAGCCCTTTATCAGATGTGTAGCATGCAAGTATTTCCTTCCATTCTCACTATTGGTTGGTTTCTTGGCCATGCAGAAGGTTTCCATTTTAATCATGTCCCATTTACATACTTTCGTAGTTGCTCTGATTGCCTTTGGGGTATTCTTCATACATTCTTTCCCTAGGCCGATAGCTGTAAGAGCTTTCCCATCTTCTTCTAGAAGTCTTATGGTTTCATGCCTTCGGTTTAAGTCTGTTATCCATTATGAGTTAATTTTTATGAGTGGTGAGAGGTCCGGATCCTGTTTCAGACTTTACATGTGACTATCTAATTTTCCCAGTATCATTTATTGAATAGGGATTCTTTTCCTTGGAATGCTGTTCTAATTCCCAAAAAGGACACTCCCCTCTCCCCTTCCCCTCCTGACCACTAGTTTAAGGAAGGAATGCTGCTTTTAATTCCCAAAAAGAGTGGGAGCATTTTAGAGAGAAATTACTTTTATCCCTTTTCAGGCCATTCCACCTTATGAATTGAACAACTGTTAGTTGATTTTTCTCTAAGGAGTCCTTTAAAGAAAGTACTACTTAAAGAATTCTCATTTGTATTAATGATAATTTCTGGCTCGGCACCTATAGCGTAGTGGTTAGGGCACTGGCCACATACACTGGGGCTGGTGGGTTTGAACCTGGCCCGGGCCTGCTAAACAAAAACAACAATGACATAGCTGGGCATTGTGGCGGGCGCCTGAGGTCAGAGACTCTCTTAAGACCAAGAGTTTGAGGTTGCTGTGAGCTGTGACACCATGACACTCTACTGAGGGTGAAATAGTGAGACTCTATTTCAAAAAAAAAGAAAAAAAATTTAAAAATAATAATGGCTCGGCGCCTGTGGCTCAAGTGGCTAAGACGCCAGCCACATACACCTAAGGTGGTGGGTTCGAATACAGCCCAGGCCTGCCAAACAATAATGACAGCTGCAACCAAAAAAATAGCTGGGCGTTGTGGTGGGCACCTGTGGTCCCAGCTACTTGGGAGGCTGAGGCAGGAGGCTTGCTTGAGCCCAGGAGTTGGAGGTTGCTGGGAGCTGTGATGCCATGGTACTCTACCCAGGGGGACAGCTTGAGGCTCTGTCTCAAAAAAGATAAATAAAAATAAAAATAAATAAATAATGATAATGTCAACTCTACCAAAAGGATGACTTAGGAATTTAACTTCTGAATGTACTTAAGTGGACCAGGAGCAATTGTTTACGACTGTAATCAATCCCTGTGCTTTGGGAAGCTGAGGTGGGAGGATTGCTGGAGGCTAGGAGTTCAAGATTAGTCTGGGCAACATAATGAAAACCCATCTTTATGAAAATTAAAAAAAAATTAGCTAGGCCTTGTGGCATGTGCCCAGATGCTTGGGAGACTGAGGCAAGAGAATCACTTGAACCTAGGAATTGGAGGCTTTCATGAACTTTGATTGTGCCCCTGCATGCCAGCCTGGGTGACAGAATAAGACCCTGTTTCAAAAAATAAATACTTAAATATTTATAATCTTTGTGTCATATTTTATGATCATTAGAGTTTTTTTTTGTTTTTGTTTTTTGAGACAAAGCTTTAGGCTGTTACCTGGGTAGAGTGCTATGGCATCACAGCTCACAGCAACCTCTAAATCCCAGGCTTACACGATTCTCTTGCCTCAGTCTCCCAAGTAGCTGGGACTACAGGTGCCCACCACAACACCCAGCTAATTTTTGGTTTAGTTGTCATTGTTTGGCAGGCCTGGGCTGGTTTTGAACCCGCCAGCTTTGGTGTATGTGGCTGGCGCCTTAGCTGGTTGAGCTACAGGTGCCGAGCCAGTCATTAGAGTGTAACAATTTATTTTGTAGGAGATTGGGTTTTCTTTTTTTCATTTTCAGTAGGTTTGCATGAACAACAAGGTATTTATTTGGTATAGAGGGAAACTTACAGTGGTAGATTGTACTACATGTAACAGCTACATACATAAAATGTAAAATTGTTCTTGGTTCTATAATGATGAATGAAAAACTTTAAGTTTCTCTAGTTGAACTAGATATGCAAGGATTTCTATGTTCTTCTTTCGTTGGAACAGTGATTGTAAAATTACTCACTAAAATATAAAGAGCTGAACGAGTGTTCCACAAGGGAAAAGAGGAAGTCTTCTCCCAGAACCAGTGTTTTTTGTACTTTTCCCCTCCTATGTTTATTTCATGTCAATCAGAATATAACCAGGGCCCTTTAGTATAAATCAAAAAATCCACCAACCAACCAACAAGCCACAGTGTGCTCATGCTCATACCCTGGTTACTTTATGTACAATATGTGTAAGGGAAGAGGGCGGGGGCAGTGAAGAAGAGAGAACCGTACTGTAGCAGTGAAGATGTGGTGGAAGCCGGTTGCAGCTTCCAGTTGAGAATGTATTCTTGGTTTGTGAGAGCAGGGTTCTGGGGTAAAGCAGCAGGTGTGTGTCCTGTGTGGAAGACGCCTCCTGTCTGCTACCGGAGGACGTCACTTGATCTTCACCCTCCACTTCCTAATGTACAAAGGTGTCAGTTTCATCGATTGGTGCCCATCAAACTGGAATCTGATCAGCCTCATCGGCAAGTCCTGTCCCTCACGATTATAGGTTTTCATTGTTTTATGTGTGGTACGTGTACTCCAGAACCATCCTGCCCTTGCCATCTTCAAATTACTCTCAGTCTTAGCTCCTTCCTTGGACTTCTCCTTGGTCATGTTTAGCTCAGGGCTTTTCTCAGCTGCTGTTTCACAAAAGAGAACCGGGTCTGCTCTGAACAAGCACTCAGGACCAGCAGCAGAAGGAAGTAGCATCAAGAGTTATTTTTTTGGCTCGGCGCCTGTGGCTCAAGCGGCTAAGGCGCCAGCCACATACACCTAAGGTGGCAAGTTCAAATCCCCAGCCCGGGCCCGCCAAACAACAATGATGGCTGCAACCAAAAAATGGCCAGGCGTTGTG